TTTGCAGATGACACCATTCCTGGAGGAAGCCGGGGCAACGCAGAATCCTTCATTCCTCCTTCTTCCCTCCTCTCTTTCCCGTCTGTTAATTTTCTAAGTATTTAATGCTTGTTTGATTGCTTCACAGATTTTCATGGTTTCAACTCATTTTCTTTCTTTTAAAATTTTGTTTTTATTTCTTTTTGAGACAGAGTCTCTCTATGTAGTGCAGGCTGGCGTAGGACTCACAGCATTTCTGGTGCCTCAGCCTGCACTACTACATGGCTCATTTCATCTTTTCTTTTCTTTTTAAATTAAGTTTATTGGTACAATTTAGATATACATAATGGACACACAGACTTTTTTTTTTTTTTCTGGTACGGGGAATCAAACTCATGACCTTGTGCTTGCCAGGCAGGTGCTGTGCCACTGAGCTAAATCCCCAGCCCTCATCTTATTTTTTTGTTTTTTTTTTTCATTTCATGTTTTATCACTGAAGTATTTTCTAGATGCAGGGCGCAGTGACGAATGACTGTCTTCCCCGCGCTCAGAAGTGAGGCAGAAGGATCACTGAGAGTTCAAGGCCTGACTGAACTACACAGTGAGACCCTATCTCAAAAAACTTTTTTTCTAGCCTCACTTAGGACTTCCACTTTGTTCTGTGGTTTCGAATAGTGTAGGGGTGGATTAGATGGACATAAAAATCCAGGGCAGAACACAGATGGCTGATTGTGGAACACTGCACGCTCTCCTGTGGCCGATGGAGGTCATCACGGGTGTGTGGTGGACCACGTGCTGGAGAAGACGGACCCTGCTGCGTACTTGTGAACGTGGACTCGCATTTACTGGGTGCTGACCGAGTGCCCCTCCCCGAAACAAAGGCCTTTTCCGGTCAGCACAACAGCTTGCCCTACAGGTGGGAAACCGTCTCCCCTCCCCGCCCCCGCCCCTCCAAGCTCGCTCTGCCGCCCGAGACAGCTTCTCTTCTGCCTCCTCTGCGTTTGCCACATGTCACGTAAACTCTCCCCTCGCACCCTACCAGTCCGATGTCCCGCTTTGCCATTCTCACTGGCATAAGGGTGAGGACCGGGAGATGCAACGCTAACATTATTTTCTAATACTTGAATTTTTTTCTAGCTGTCTTTGTTGTTGGTTTCTCATTTCATTTGTTATGCATGTGGATTATATTTTCTATGATTTCAGTTTTTTTTTTGAGACAGGGTCTCATTATGTAGTCCAGGCTGGCCTCAAACTAATGGCGATCCTCCCGCCTCAGCCTCCCAAGTGCTGGAATTACAGGTATGTGGCAGCTTGAACTACATGGTGAGACCCTGTCTCAAAAAAA